ATGGTAAAACCCCATCTCTACTAAAAATACAAAAATTAGCCAGGCGTGGTGGCGTGTGCCTGTGATCCCAGCTACTTGGGAGGCTGAAGCAGGAGAATCACTTGAACCCAGGAGGTGGAGGTTGCAGTGAGCCCAGATCATGCCACTGTACTCCAGGCTGGGTGACAGCGAGACTCCGTCCAAAAAAAAAGTCGCTAGCATTCCTATACACCAACAACAACCAAGCCGAGAGCCAAATGAGGATACAATCCCATTCACAATTGCCACAAAAAGAATAAAATACCTAGGAATATGGCTAACCAGGGAGGTAAAAAAAAAAAATCTCTACAATGGGAATTACAAAACATTGCTCAAAGAAACCAGAGATGACAAACAAATGGAAAAACATTCCATGCTCATGGACAAGAAAAATTAATATCATGAAAATGGCCATATTGCCCAAAGCAGTGGACAAGTTCAATGCTATTCTTATCAAACTACCAATGACATTCTTCACAGAACTAGAAAACACTACTTTAAAATTCATGTGAAACCCGAAAGAGCCCAAATAGCCAAGGAAATCCTAAGCAAAAAGAATAAAGCAGGAGGCATCACACTCCCCAACTTCAAACTCTACTACAGGGCTACAGTAACCAAAACAGCACATTAGTAGTACAAAAACAGACATATAGACTAATGGAACAGAATAGAGAGCTCAGAAATAAGGTTGCATACCTACAACCATATGATCTTTGAGAAACTTGACAAAAACAAGCAAAGGGACTCCCTATTCAATAAGTGGTGCTGGGATGCCCTTATGCGGAAGATTGAAACTGGACCCCTTCCTTACACTATATACAAAAATAAACTCAAGATGGATTAAAGACTTAAATGTAAAACCCAACACTATAGAAACCCTAGAAGACAACCTAGGTGATACCATCTGGACATAGGAAGGGGCAAACATTTCATGACAGAGACATCAAAACAACTGCAATAAAAGCAAAAGTTGACAGATGGAATCTAATTAAACTAAAGAGCTTCTGTACAGCAAAAAAGACTATCAACAGAGTAAACAGACAACCTACAGAATGGGAGAAAATATCTGCCAACTATGCATCTGACATAAGTCTAATATGCAGCATCTATAAGGAACTTAAACAAATTTACAAGAAAAAAAACAAACAACTCCATTAAAAAGTGGGCAAAGGAAATGAAGAGTTTTCAAAAGAAGACATACATGTGGCCAATAAGCATACGAATAAAAGCTCAACATTACTGATCATTAGAGAAATGCAAATCAAAACCACAATGAGATACCATCTCACACAGTCAGATGGCTATTATTAAAAATCACAAAATACAGATGCTGGCAAGGTTGCAGAGAAAAGAGAATGCTTATACACCATTGGTGGGTGGGTAAATTCATTCAACCATTGTGGAAAGCAGTGTGATGATTCCTCAAAGAGCAGAAAACAGAACTGCCATTCAACCCAGCAATTCCATTACTGGGTATACACCCAAAGGAATATAAATTGTTCTGTCATAAAGACACATGCTAATTGCAGCAGTATTCACAATAGCCAAGACATGGAATCAACAGAAATGCCCATTGATGGTAGACTGGATAAGGAAAATGTGGTATATATACACCATAGAATAGTATGCAGCCAGAAAAAAGAATGAAATCATGTCCTTTGAAGCAACATGGATGGAGCTGGAGGCCACTATCCTTCGCATACTATGCAGGAACAGAAAACCAAATCCACGTATTCTCACTTATAAGTAGGAGCTAAATGGTGAGAACACACAGGCACAGAGGGGTACGACAGACACTGAAGCCTACCTGAGGGTGGAGGGTGGGAGGAGGGAGATGATTAGAAAAAATAACTAATGGGTACTAGGCTTATTACGTGAGTCACGAAATAATCTGTACAACAATCCCCTGTGACACAAGTTTACTTATATAACAAAACTGTACATGTGCCCCTGAACCTAAAGTAACAGTTAAAAAAAGAGATGTAGAAGACATTCATAGCACTGTTACTCATAATAAGACAAACACTGAAAAATAGGCATATCCCCATAATAGATACATTTATTGCAAAATATCCACACAACATAATACTATACATTAACAAGAATGAATGATCTACAACTATAGACAATAATAAATGTAAAATTCATGGTAAGATGCTGAAGGAGCCAGACAGAAAAAAAAGCACATTTTGTATGACTTAAGAAATTTTCCTGTATTCTTTCAGTATAGTTTGGGGCTGGATAAGAAAATCAACACGCCATTTCTTTTCATTTGAAGGTATGGAGTGTACTCTTATGTTACCTGCAGGTTAACCTCAGGAAAATATCCATCCTAAGCCCTTGAAAAGTGATCCACTACACGTAGTAACAAGGCTAATGCGAAGTCTAATGAACAGGGAGCTGGGAGTAAGACAGGACACATACTTGGGACACAGTGACAGATCTAAACCATTAACTCTAGATGGTGACCTTGGGTAATCACCATACCTCACAAATGCTTTTTCTTCTTCCTAGGTGTATTGGTCAGTAGTGTGGGCTCTGGAGACAGAATAGAGACAAGCCCTAGTTCTGCCACGTAAAGACTGAGTGACTTTAAATACTTTTACTTCACCTTATAGTCACTCATTTGTTACATCCATAAAACTGGCATTATACAGTACATAATGTAGAAGACAAAACATTTAAAAATATATTTATTAACTTGTGTTTGAGTTTTTAAAAAGATAAATGGCGAGTAATCACATCATTTAAAAAATTCTACTACAGAGATGCTGGGGAAAAAAAGCTTAATAGTCTTACAGCTGAATCATATTCATCAACCAACATATTTTTAAAATCACTAATTTTTATTATAACTAATATTAGTTATAGTAAAACTAACTAAATAACTTGAGAACATTCAAAGCACTTGGAAGGTCTGATCTCAGAAAACAGCACCACCATTTCTCTGCATGGCCAAACAAAAAGCCCAGGGGTTCTCCCTAACTCTCCATTATCTACACACCGCAGGCACACAGCCACTGCAGGTCCTACCTGCCTGACCTGCAAACACGCCCTGCCCAGGTCCATCCCTCCCTTTGCACATAGCTGCAGCCCTGGCCTCATCCACACACATCCCTCTCCTGGACTTCTGCAATATTTTCCTAATGGTTATCCCTACTCCCTATCTTGTCCCTCTCCAGACCATTCTCCACACAGCAGCCAGAGTCAGCTTCCACATCAAGAATCAGATCACATCACTCCCATACTCTAACCCTCCACACTCAGAATAAAACTCAAACTCCTTACAGGACTGAAACCATGTGGTTCCTGTCTACCCTTTCGATCTCATCTTCCACCTGTCTGCACTTATGTACCAGGCTCCAGTCACTCCAGCTTGTCCTCTGCTCCTGGATCAGTGGTGCCCACACACAGCACAGGGACACTGACAAAATGGTCTCTCCATGCCTGGCTTCTTCTTATCGTTTAGGACTCAGCTCAAGTGTCACTTCCTGAGAAGGAGTCTCACTGACAACCCCATCTATAATAATCCCTGTCTCAGTCATTTTCTACTCCACCTGTTTATTTTCTTCAAAACACATATCCTCATATGAAATCACATGGCTTATTGTTTACCTGCTTACTGCCACTTTTCCCAAACTAGAATGACAGCTCCAGGGACCCTGCCTATCTTATTCTCTGTGCTGTTTCCTCAGTGCCTACTTTAGTCCTTCACATATAATCACTTAAATAATATTACTTAATTGAAGGAATTGTTGCCTATTTAAGAGACCAAAGAAGACAGACATTTAAGCTGAGTAGCAGGAGCAACTATCAATGAAATTAGATATTAAATGATTCAAAACTGTAAGAAGGTCTTGTACATCCATAGCAGAGCTTTTCAAACATGGATGATGTTATAGTCTGAATATCTGTGACCCCCCGCCTCAAATTCATGTTAAAACCTAATACCAAGGTGATGGTATTAGAAGGTGAGGCTATGAGAGGTTTTTAGGTCATTAGGGCTCTGTCCTCTGTCACTAACTGAGATTAGTGCTGTTATCAAAGAGATTCCAGAGAGCTAGCTAGCCCTTTCCACCAAGGGAGGTCATAGTAAGAGGTCATCCATCTATGAAGGAAGTGGGCCCTCACCAAAACACTGAAGCTGCCAGTGCCTTAATTTTGGATTTCTCAGCCTCCAGAACTGTGAGAAATAAATTTCTGTTGTTTATCAGCTACCGAGTTATGATATTTTGTTATAGTAGCTCAGAATGCACTAAGATGAGTACCAGACCAACTGAAGATATTACTTTAAATGGAAACACCTCCCATCCCACCTCCCTGGTTTTGATTCAGCAGATCTAGGGTAGGTCCAAGTATCTGCTATTTTAACGAGCACTACCTGATGAATTTGATGAAGTGATCCATAGACCACACTGGGAAAAATCCTGACCTCAACAGTTCATATTTGGCCAGGCGCAGTGGCTCACGGCTGTAATCCCAGCACTTTGGGAGGCCAAGGTGGGCAGATCACTTGAGATCAGGAGTTCAATACCAGCCTGGCCAACATGGTGAAACCCTGTCTCTACCAAAAATTCAAAAATTAGCTGGGCGTGGTGGTGGGCACCTGTAATCCCAGCCACTCAGGATACTGAGGCAGGAGAATCGCTTGAACCAGGCGGCAGAGATTGCAGTGAGCCAAGATCATGCCACTGCACTTCCAGCCTGGGTGACAGAGCGAGACTCCATCTCAAAAAAATAAAAAAATAAAAAGTTCACACTTGAGCACCATTAATTTAATGCCTACCATGCAGAGTTCTGGGACATCTGGAATATCCCTATTAATGTAATTACTCGAATGTATACTACTTTTCTAAGGGGGAGGGAAGACTTCTTTCCCACATGAGATCATACTTAAACTCCAGAGTATTCCTGGTGGTCAGGAGAATTGGGTATTTTTATCCTGTTGTATAGACTAATCTGAAGGAAGGGTAGTGACTTACCTAAAGTGTCCCCATGATGGGATCTGGATCTCTTGACTTTTGCTTCAGTAGCCTGTCTAGCAGATTCAACATCACACCTGGTTCTTCTCTACAAACTACTGGTTCTGCGCTGCACAGTCAACACCCTTGTCTCACGTTAACTAGATGGGAGAGTAAGAGGACGAGAAAGCATATAAAATGAGGAGGAAGGTAAGAGGATGAAAAAGCACACGAAAACAGGGGATGGGGTGATGATGTCTTCCCTATTCCCATTCAGTTACGTGGAAGCTGTGCAATGATGCTTTTCGTCTTCCTCAGCTCCATCCCACAACCCTCTCCCACACACAGAATGACAGTGAAGTTGTCACCTAGTGGAAATGTGGGCTTATCCCTGCTTGCTATTACAATTCCAAGTATTCTCTCTGTAGTCATGCTATTACATTAATATATGACATGAAAACCACAATCCGTAAGTGAACAAATCAATAAATTGGACTTCCTCAAAGTCAAAAACTTTTGCTAGGAGAAAGTGTTTAAAATCATATATCTGATGAAGGACTTGTACCAGAATACAGAAAATATCACAAAAGTCAGAGGAAAACAGACACTTAAGTAAACAAATGGGCAAAATATTTGAATATACATTCCACTAAAGAAGATATATACATATACAAATGTCAAGTAAACACATGAAAAGATAACAACATTAATCATTAGGGAAATGTAAATGAAAACTGCAATGAAATACTACTATATTCTTGTAAGAATGGCCAAAATTAAAGAGACTGACCATATCAAGCACTGGCAAGGTTGGGGAGGATAAAACTCTCATACACTGCTGGTGACAGCAGTGATACAACCACTTTGGAAACAGCTTGGTAGTTTTTTACAATGTTAATCTTATATCTACCATATATCCAGCAATTGCACTCCTAAATATATACCCCAAAGAAATAACGCATATGTCTATGAAAAGACTTATTCACATATGTTCATATCAGCTTTATTTATAAGTGTCCCAAATTAGAAACAACCCAAATATCCATCAACAGGTGGATGGATAAAACAAATAGTGGTATAGCCATATACTGGAATGCTATTAAGCAATAACAAAGAATAAACTACTGCTATATGCAAAGAAATGGATAAATCTAAAATTAAATAGGGTGAATGAAAAAAGTCAGATTCCTCTTAGAAAAAACCTCTCTATGACTCCACTTAAATACATTTCTAGGACATAAAACCAAATCTATAGTGACAGAAATGTGTTTGCCTGGAGACAGCGCAGTAGGAGGGGTAGGGAGCCCAGGTAATATAGAATTGAAAATGTTATTTCCTTGGAAATAATAATAATAATACTCAGGCTTATCTGGTTATTTTAGGAGATGTGACTAGGTATCATTATAATTGGGCAAACTATCAAGTAATCGTTATTTTCAAAAATACTAAATTCTTGTACCTGACATTTAACTAACACTTAGTAAATTCCTGGCCTCTTAAAAAATTACATTGCAGAATGGATGAAAACACGCTAACCATGAAAGCATGCATATTACAATCTCAAATTGCTATGAAGATCTTCTAACCAACTGCATATTTCAACTTCCATCCGAGATACATGGGAATAATGAATTATTATTTATACAGTCAGAAAACTATGTGTAAATTTATTGCAAATGCATGTTAAATATCAAGTTCCTTCCCCAACTGAACAATTCATTGCTTTAAGAAAGGTATCTCCAAATGGGCCTCAAGGGATACTACAAAGCATGTAGCTGCTGATGCACGCAATGGAGTCCACCTGTTGAGCCTCTTTTCCAATGATGAGATCAAAGTGCCTGCTCTACTTTTAGACTACTTTGTGAACTACACACTTACTATTCTATAACACACTTCTGTTCAGATCTATGAACTCACTTGATCCAGGAATCATATCCCACCAAGGATGGAAGTGCTAGAGATCTCCTGAGGACTGCTGTCCTTCAAGTCTGAAGTAAAAGCTTCAGCAGCCATCATGACCCAGATCATCAGAACCCACCTCCTTCAGACACCTGATATAAGTTTAGTTGCCCCCATGAGGTGCTTCCTGGGGAGAGACAGGCTCCAGCAATCACTATGCTTTATTGAAATGACTCTGTGCCTGCAACCATGCTGGGCACTGAGTTAGTGACCAATGACACTGATACAATTGGTTAGTGATCATAACAACCAGAAGGTACAATGAGTTTCTCACCAGGGCCTTTTCTTCTCCTTTCCATTTATCACCTAATAACAACTTTAAAAAAGAATGGGGAAATGGCCTGAGCCCTTGGTAGAGGAACACAACTACTACCAACCTGTAGCCCAACACCAAGGAATCTGGCAGTGGGGACACATACCCCATCTTTCCCTCACTCACTTGCTAGTGTCTCCCATTGGCCAAACCCAACTGGAAGCCTAAGGAGAAGGGATCTGAGTTGGTGTAGTCTATAAGGATCAGACCTGTGGAGCACAGAGTAGGGTGGTGAGGGGTGGAGTGTAGCTTTGAAGAGACAAATTGAGGCTATCCATCACAGTATCTAATATACAACTGTGCTGTAGGCTGAATAACACTCCTCTACCCCAAAGAAATCCATGTCCTAGTCTCTAGAACAAGTGAATATGTTACATTACATGGTAAAATGAACTTTACAGGTGTGATTAAGTTAATGATCTTAAAATGGTGAGGTTATTCTGGATCATCTGGGTGGGCCTGATATAATTACAAGGGTCTTTATGAGGGAAACAGGGAGGCAATAAAATCGGAGAAGTAGATGTGACCACAATATGGAGGTCAGAGTAATGTGAAGGCATGAGCCAAGGAATGCAAGCAGCTTCTAGAAGCTGGAAAAAAACGAAAATTCATTCTACACTAGAACTTCCAGAAGGAACATAGCCCTGCTGACACCTTGATTTTAGCCCAGTGAGACCCACTTTGGACTTTTGAACTCCAAAACTGTAAAATAATAAATTTGTGTTGTTTTAAAAAAATAAAAGAATAAGAAATAGACTGAATCCATAAAGCACCCATTGTCCCATAACAACCACAGGGCTATCTATCATCTTGCACCTGTATTATCACTGCAGGTTGCAGCAATCCTGTGGGTGAGCATTCTCATTCTCATTTTACAGGAGAGGCTGGGCTCACAGAGTCCTTACCTGTCTCATCCTCCCCACGTCCCGCCTTTATATAGAAAGTTGCCCCAGGACACCCGGAGCAAGACACCACACTCACTGGGGCCAGGAGGGTCCCAGCTCTCTCTCTCTCTCATGAGACCGCCCGGGCAACTTGTGCCAAAGCGGGAACGAAGGAACTTGGATCTGGGCTCCTTCGTCTCTCCACACCCCAGGAAGGTTCAGCCCCCACCGCGGGGCACCCACACCCTCAGTTGAGTCCCAAACACCTGAAGGAAGGACCCTGCTCTTCTTGCCCGGTCATGTTGGCCTCTATTTTAAAAGTCTCCACGGTCGCCGCAATGACGTCAGGTTTCTATGGCAACCGTGATACGCAGGCTGGTCCAGCACACCGGAAATGCCGTAGAGTGGCCTTTTGACTCCTTGCCTTTCACTAAGAGAAAATGCCTTCACTCTTCAGGCGGCTTCCTGGGTAGCTATAATAATTAGAGGAACTAGGCTGGGACGGAGCCAATTGATAGAATTCTGCCAGGTTTGATGGAACAAAGTCCCGGTTGTCAATAGTTTTGTTTAAAAGTGACAGTAGAGGAATATCACCAGTGCACAGAGACCTGGAGCTCTTGGAGATGAGCTAACTCACTGAGGAGGAGCATGTACAATTCACACACCATACTAAAGCAGTTATCCATCTGTGGCAGAAAACTAAGACTATCTATAATCATGTGACTAAAAGATCTAGGAACAACAAAATATGTCGTTTAAGATATCTCAGAGTTATTTCAGTAATGTAAGCCTAAAATAATACAGTCATTTAGTAGACAGGAACCTAATCAATTCAACCATACAATGGTTTGTCTTGAGAAAATTATTATCCTTCATTCCTGCATGTGGAGGGACATTCATGACCACAACATTTCTAGACTCTCTATACACTCAATCCTGTTCTGTCACAGGAGGAACTTATCTAATTGGTGAGCTGGGAAGAAGAAAAAGGGGCTGCACTACCCAGGCTGCCTCCCTTCAAAATTCTTGGTAGTAAGCTGCTCTTCAGGGGCACCTGTTCTTCCCTGCCCTCAGAGGTGGATCTTTTTTTTTTTTTTTTTTTGAGATGGAGTTTCACTGTTTCACTCTTGTTGCCCAGGATGGAGTGCAATGGTGCAATCTTGGCTCATTGCAACCTCTGCCTCCCAGGTTCAAGCAATTCTTCTGTCTCAGCCTCCCGAGTAGCTGGGATTACAGGCATGCGCCACCACACCTGGCTAATTTTGTATATTTAGTAGAGACGGGGTTTCTCCATGTTGGTCAGGCTGGTCTTGAACTCCTGACCTCAGGTGATCCACCTGCCTCAGCCTCCCAAAGTGCTGGGATTACAGGCATGAGCCACTGAGCCCAGTCCAGAGGTGGATCTTACAATAGGCCCACAGTGCTACTCCTCTTTCTGTGCCACACTGGCTCAACTATTTCTATTGTCTTTCTCCAAATTGCTTGGATTGTTTAAGCAATTTACTCACTGCTTCAAGTCTAAGCTTGAAATCAAGTAGTAAATAGATGAAAGAAGAAAAATACATGGACTTTATTCCTTATAAAGAAGATATTAGAGAAGATGACTTAGATTTGCTGGCATGTGGGCTTCCTATGAAGGATCCACAAAATTGAAAAAGATTTATCCACTAAGTAGTGCCATGATGGGAAAATCATAAAGGCCAAGGACTGCAATGCATATCAAGCTGCTGTCTGGTGCAGGAGTCCTGTCTATATGTTCTCATGGAAAGTAGCTTCCTTGCAAGGCAATTCCCTGTAGCAGGAGAAAGAGTTTCAAGATCTCTTCTTTCAGAAACACTTCTCAAAGTACATAAATAACCCTTGTTCAGAATGAATACTCACTAAGCCAAAGCCAATCTCTGAGGCTTTCCCCGTGGAGTCATTTGTGACAACACTCTGTCAGTAGCTTAGTTCATATGATTGCAATAGAGGCTCATCTCATGGAATTAGGTTCTAAATTCAAAGAGTAGGTTGAAAATCATATATTGTGATAGCTTCCATTGAAAATTCCTTCAAGAAGGAATTGATTAAATATTCAGAAATTTGTACACACACATAAACAAACACAGAAACTATACTCAAAATTATTAATATAACAATGTCCCACCAAGCCTTCAAGGATAAGAGAATCCCTTTGACCTCCAATGATAACAAAGTACAGAAAAAGATGAAAAGTTCACCCCAACCATGTTTTAGATAACCATTTCTACCTAACAAACACCCCAAAACAAACCATTTATTATCTTTCAGAAATCTGAGTGTTGACTGAGCTCAGCAATGTGTTTTCTGCTGCATGTGGTGTCTGTTTCATGGGGCTGTGAGGCTACACTCCACTGGGACATCCAAGAGAGTTTACTCACATGAAGGACAATTGGTGCTGATGCCACCTGCAGCTCAGCTGGGGTTGCTTCCTGGAGCACCTTGGTTCAACACAGAGTCCCCATGTTTAGGGTAACCATATAAAATAGAGGACATCCAGTTCAATCTAAATTCCAGATAAAAATGAATAATTTTTAATGTAAGTATGATGGTTAATTTTATGCATCAACTTGACTGGGCCATGGTACCCATATATCTCATCATCATTATTCTGAGTGTTTCTGTAAGGATGTTTTTGGATGAGATTAACCTTTAAATTCGTGGACTTTGAATAAAGCAGACTGCCCTCTATAATGTGGGTGGTCCTCATCCAATCATCTGGAGACCTGAATAGAGAGAAAATCTGACATCCCTGAGCAAAAGGGAATACTACTAACAGATAGCCTTCAGAATTGAATTGCAACATTGGATGTGCCTTATTCTCCAGTCTGCAAGCCTACCATACAGAGATTGGACCTTTAGCCTCCAGTAATCATGTGAAACAGTTCCTTAAAATGAATCTCTCTCTATCGCAAACACACACACATGCCCTACTGGTTCTGTTTCTCTGGGTGTGGCATGCAATATTATTTCATTTATCTGAATGCAACTGGGAATTCTGTATTTTTATTTGCTAAATCTGGCAACCCTAGGAGAGGAATCTCTGGATATGTAAGTCTACCGACAGTCTGAATGACACTTCCAATGGTGCAGGTATGGAGAAAACGAGCAGTTCAGGTTGGCAAGACAAAAGCTGTTAATAACTAGTGTTGGTGAAATAAAGAAGAAACAGACTCATATACCCTATTGGTGCCACACCAATGTGTCCGTTTTCTGAGGCCAGTATTATTACATCTTAATAACTTGAATGGACTTTGTGCAGAAGTCCTATTTCCACCAACGAGGGAGTTTCAGCTGAGGGTTTAGAAAAGGCTCATCAAAGTGACTCTGATGTGCATGCTGGTTAAGGGGTCCTGGCTGAAAAGGCAGGTAAATTTGTCACATGAGTTCCTGCTCTAGGGAGGAAAGACAGCTACCATTTATGGAGCAGATTGTTTAGAGGTGCCCAGTTCCAGGTTCTTCACCTTCATAGTTGGATTTAATCTCGACAGCCCTGCTAGTGAGGTATCACTATCCTTTCTTCATGAATGTAAGTGACTACAAAGCAAGTACTCCTAACCATAGAGCTGGATGGCAAAGAGGTTTCTCACCACACCCACTGCCAAAGTCAGGGATAGAACCTGCCAGCTTGGGTACCTTGAGTTGCTGGTGAAAGCACTTCAGCAAATGTATCAAGACATGTACCGCTGTGAGGTTAATTTCTGTTTTCCCATGTGTACCCTCCCTACAGAAGGGAGCCAGGCTTTGTCCCCCTTCCCCTTGCCTGAGGGGAGGTTTATGGCAGGGATGGAAGCAGAAGCTGTCTGAAGCCATTATTTCTTCCATCCTCTGTGAAAATCTAAGCTTAAAGAAAGGGTTGGCCTACTTGCACCTGGTAGGGAGGGAAGGGCCTTTGAGGACACAGAAAGGGAATAGGAAGGAAGTTTTCTTCCAGATAAGGAAGAGGTCAGAGGTCTACAAATCCCTCCAGGAGTAAGAACATGAGCACTGGTGTATATCAACACCTGAGGTGGATCCATGGATGATTCATTGAGGCTGTGCATCCAGCCTTGAAAGAGATTTTCTTGTTTGGATGGCAGGATGGATGAAGCAGGGTCAGGGGTCCTCAAGGCACCAAGGGAAATGGTCAGCTTTGCCCTGAGCAGTAGGGAAACATTATTGATGATGGCAGAGTTCTCCCAGGATGTATCTAAAGGATACATTCCTACAAATGATTATCTTTGTCAAAGAGTATGACCAATTAACATATTAAGTATTTGCTGTCTAGTTGAAAGTTAAAATCTCCTTACTAGTGAATATCCCAACCAATTCCAAGATGAGAGCACTCATTTTTTTAGATTTGTGCAATAATGGCTTTCCCAACTTTATTCATATTTGCTGATGAAATATTCTATGCTGTAATGTTAGAATGTTTCATTTTTCTCTATTTCCATGTAAACGGCATATTTCACATGTGCATTTTTAATGCAAACATAATGGTTCCACTTTATGCCTCAAGATATGTCCTGGAATAATTGTAGAGTTTGGCAAGACAACCAGATCAGTAAGTTTGTGTTTTTGCTGTGTCCTGTTTAAATTGAAATTATGGAGTCAGGAGAACTCCACATACTGCCAGGAGAGGAGAAATTGGTACAAGCTCTTTGCGGAGACACTGCACAGCATCTATGAGAGAAGCAAGGAAGGCCCTGTCAGCTGCAGCCCTCTCATGTCTGCACTTCAGAGAGTTTTGCATGTATGCAAACCTGGTCACAGCAGTGTGGCTAAAATATAGTTCCAAAATTGCCTGATTAAAGAAACTTCAGAAACGCTATTTTTAGCGTAAAAATCTCCATAAGTGGTATCTAAATATACTACTTCTATAGTTAGAGCTTAAAATATGTGAAGAAATTATGTGTTCTGTTCAGAAGTGTATAGTCACATGCCCTGTAACGACATTTCAGTCAATGATGAGCCGCATATATGACGGTGGTCCCATTAGATTATAATATTGTATTTTTACTGTAGCTTTTCTATGTTTAGATTATTTACCATTGTGTTACAATTGCCTACAGTATACAGTACGGTAACTTCCTACAGGTTTGTAGCCTGGGAGCAATAGGCTATACCGTCTAGCTTAGATGTATAGTAGGTTATACCATCTAGGTTTGTGTAAGTACACTTTATGATGTTTGCACAATGACACATTTGTCAGAACGTATCCCTGTTGTGTAATGCATAACTATGTTCATGAATAATAAATATGGAACAAAACATTAGAATGGTAAAAAAAAATTTTTTTGATTTTGATAATGGTTCCCTCAGGGGTAAGACAATCAGAGAAGATAC